CATCTAGATGCAAATGAATTAAGAGTCCTCCAGTATGGTTTAAAATATATCCCAACAAAACATATGAAGGTGGAATCGAAATTAGTAGATGAAATAAAACATGTTTCGGAGACGCATCCTCTCCTTAAACTGAGGAAGGATTTGATACGATGCAATAGCGCAATCTTCGGATGCTTTTCGCCCCAATATGAGAAGAGAGGAATATAGAGCGTTGGACGGTTTAAAGAAACGTCGAGATATTGTGATTAAACAGGCGGATAAAGGACAGGGAATTGTGGTGATGAGCAAAGAGGCTTATGAATGGAAAGCCTACACACTATTAAATTAACGAACTCATCACACAACACCATATTCCATCTAGACTCGCACATAACGTAAGACACAGAGGTCTTCCTAGATTGCCGAACTTTTATATACTCCCGAAAGTGCATAAGGGAGGATGTCCGGGTAGACCGATAGTGTCAGGTATTGGTCATTGTACCGAGAGAGCATCAAAATTTCTCTGTCAACTCTTACAGCCTTTTGTCTAATATACTTTTTGTACTAATATTCCTATTGATGAAGGTGTAGCAAGAGTGTCGAATTTCGTTTTTGAAACTTCGGGCATACCTATCTCGCGCCAAGGGCTTGTCGAATTACTCAAAATAGTGTTACGTAATAACACCTTTCATTTTGGTGGAAAATTCTATATACAAAAGTTCGGTACGGCAATGGGAACCCCATATGCGCCACCATATGCTAACCTGTTTGTTTTATTAAATGAACTGAAGCTATTTGACAAATGCGAGAAGTTGCCTTTCCGATTTTTTCGCTGCCTGGACGATGTCCTAATCCTTTGGTATGGCGATAGAGTAGAAGCTGAGCAATTTCTTTCGAAACTGAATACGGAAAATTCGAACCTAAAATATAAAGTGGAAGGTTTCGGCGAGACGATGATAAATTATCTGGACGTGTCAATTATAAAAAATACAATACTCAACAAATTGATCTCGAAACTTTTCCAAAAACCCATAGACACTTTCCAGTACGTCCGATCAGAGTCAGGACATCCCAGATTTATATTGGACAATTTAGCCGCTACACTTGCACATAGAGTTAAACGAATTTGCAATGATGATATCGAGAAGTGGCGAGAATACGTCAATATTATTCATCGATTGAGTAAACGAGGATATAGGCCGAAAAATGTAGTGTCCAAAATTCAAAAAGTTGACAAATTAGACAGATTGGATTTACTAAAAGAGAAGAAATCCATTGTTTCCGGGAAGGATTTGAGACAAAAGACACGAAAAAAAGTACTTGTACTCACATATAACAAACAGTTTCGTCGAATAGGAGGGATTTTAAAATATTCGGCTTCAAACGTAGATTGGTCTAAGTACATTCTGACATATAGATGTCCACAGAATCTACATCGGTTACTTGTACACTCAAACCATTTGGGAAACTTAATAGATATTGTCCCATCATCTGCATCTGAACAACGGGATTTAAGAAATGCTCAAGAAAATACTGTTTCTTCTGTAGTTTAAGTATAGATAATTGTACGAGTATCTCACCACATCAGGAATTTAATTAAACCTAAATTAGACACTGAATTGTGACAAGCTTAACGTTTGTTACTACATCCTATGTAAGCGATGTGGGGAGAAGTATATTGGAGAAACAGGAGCATCAGTTCGAGAACGTTTTTTTGGACATGCATCACAAATCAGAGTTAAACGAACCTCAACAGTGGGATTACACTTTAGCCAGAAGAATCATTCCATTCGGGATGTTATGATTATACCGTTCGAGACAGGTTATCTTAATGAGGATCATCGAAAAGCACGGGAATCATACTGGATAAAGAAAGTAAACCCTACTTTGAATATCAAAAGTTAATATAACTTAGTGGTAAAAATATTTTGCAGAGGTGGTAATTTGAGAATATTTATATTTTCGAGTTACTTATCTCGTTTAATTTAGCCACTTAAGAAAAAATACTATAGATTTTCTCTTATAATTAGGAGAACTTGGTAATATTTATCATAAGAGTTAGTGTATGATAGAACCTAAATTGGAAAGATACCATTCCTATAGGACGAGAGCAATCATATTGTAAAAATTTCATTTTTTTAAATCTGAATTAATCTCAATAATTGCTGTCATTATGGTGATAAATCTGTCACCAGAACGGACCGCTTTAGATCCGTTTCAATTACAGCACTCATGGTCCATTTGGGTCATAACTGATTATACACATTCATAAGGATATAGTCACTAGGAATAACTTCTTTCGAATGGTTTAAAGGTCTATACTTTGGTTGAAGAACTAATGTGGTGGATGAGAACACTTTGGTCTAGACTACCTCCTCCGAGGGAGTTCGCTAGCAATGTTTCATGTATTCTCCTTTCCATCAGGGACGGTATATTACTAGTGGTTTCCTCTTGATGCGGTGGTTCTGGACTTGATGTGGGATGCATTTACTAGATGTCTGCTTCTGTTGATAGCTGAAGAAATAGTAAAATTATATAATATCAAAACAATTTTTTAGGATGATGGATATCTGTCTGAAGAGTTTACTAACGCCATGCCATTGCAAGATTGAATCTCACTTGTCTGCGCATCGTCCAGTGTTCGACAGTCACTGCCATTTTGATTCGTTTGGTGAATATGGAATGAATGAAGATTCATTTTTCCAAGAATTAGAACAGTCTAGTGTTCGTCAAATGATATTGATATCAAGACCCCAAATTGTGCAAGATTATACAAACGCCTTGTGTTAGCATTTGACAATTGAACTAGTTTATTGGCATTTTTTCCTCGAATACGAGCTGCCCCTTCAATAAACTTAGCCTTAGATGTATGAACCTGCGTATCGTCCAATATAGGTGTAGCTGAGCTATTGGAGTTGAGTGTAGAAGACGTGGACATTGTGTTTCCCAACCATTTTTTGGGGGATAATCTGCCGAATCTCCGTTCGGAAAACTTTATTCCACGATTTTTCGATTGTTTCTTTCAGTATCAATCCTTCTTCACGCTCAACATCCACCAATTCAGTCTCCCTCTTTGTTGCAGACAATTTACTACGTATTGTCATGCATACTGATTCTGCCGACTCAATCGTTTGTGATATAGCTTCAGCCTCACATTGTAATAACTTTAACTTCATCTCATGAATGATATTCTCCCATTTATTCCGAATTCTATCATCTTGAGTGCCGAAAGATTGATGGGGACTATCAAACTGCAGTGTTTTCGGGAATATATGATTTTCCTGATAGTAGCTGTTTAAAGCCAAATGATTACTAAAACGGTAATATCGATTGTATTCTGTTCGATATTTGCTAATCAGATCCTCTTCCGACTGGACAGCCGTCAGTTCAGTCTGCGTAATATAAGCCACCATTCACGAAAAGGACGAAAACCTTCGACCTCATCGTCCGATGAACTATTCCAGACTTTTTCAGTCGAGCACTCAAAGCTAATATCGGTCTGTACCTCGGGGTTATTTACGAACTGTACTTCTACCACGAGTGTTCATTTTTGGTGCTACTGGCGGCTGGTGTTTTATTAGACGGTCTTGGTGAATTATTATTTCATCGTCACGTTTTTACTACGTCACGTTTTCGTCACGTGTTTACTACGTCACGGTTTCGCCACGTCACATCCACACACACGAACACTTGGCAATTTAGAAATATCAGAAGAATTTAGTGATATTATAGTGGAAATTGGTCGAAGAAAGATACGGTAAAATTATTGAACTATTTAATTTTTAATAATTTTATGTTTATTTTGCCTGAGATTTTCTCTGAGAGCTCTCTATCCCTTTTCTTCTGTAAATTGACTAATAATTTAATTTAATTTGATAAAATGGATATTGAATTAGTTCAGAGTATTTGCTGTAAGTGGTTACAATTAGCATCATTAAAAATTGCTAAACATGGGATATACTCACCACAAGCTTGGGGTGCGTTCGTTAGAGAATTGAATAGACAGTTTCCTGATACGTTGGAGAAATTTGGTATGCGTATTGGATGGAAAATAGATATTAATACTATATGGAAGTTGGTTTTATTGCTAAATCAGGAAGCTACACGAAGTTCCCCTTCATGGTTAAACATAGATCAACTTGTACTGGTGACGGAGTACTTTCATCAAGCGATGCAAAATCAAACTAGACTTCCATATAGTAATGAGTTAGAGAATTTTCTTCATCCAGGAGCACTCTTATTGAGGAACACACCAGTATTGCCATTTTCTCCAAATATTAAGGAGACAAGTCAAGATATTCTTGAAACGCAAAATCAAACACCCCCACTAACACACTCTAATACAGTACAAGTAGCCTCGTCAATAGATAGTGAGAGTGAAAAGATTGAGAAGGAGGACGAGATGTTGACATTAATAGCTACACAGATGGTAAGAGCTACTAATAGTATGGTTTCGAATATGTCAGCACCAGGTCGAATGATGAATTCGGACCAGTCTTTCAATTGTAGCGAGACTGCTATCCAGTCATCTCATCGACTGGTTGATACTGTACTCGAAACAGTATTGAATAATAACAATAACAGTAATCAATCGGATGAAAATGTTTTATCTCAACAATTAGAGCATGTACCTTCACATATAGGCAATATGCATCAGATACAGACGTCAGTTAAGTCTGTGGACGTAGTTAATGAAATACGAAGGACTGCTCCTATACACTCGTCTATACAGTTTGTAATAACCCCGAGGTACAGTCGAAGGTTTTAGTCCTTTTCGTGAATGGTGGCTTATAACAGATTTTAAAGCTCAAGTACATAACATTAAATTATGTAAAGCGGAACAATGTGAAGGTGTACATGGAGCAACGACTTGTTTGGCGTGTTCTGGACGACCAGATTTGTTGAAACGGCTGCGTCGAGAGTGGTACGGTTTGCCGTTATGTATGACTTGGCTTTATAGCGAAAGCTTTTATGGTGTAATTTTTTCAGGAGATCTTGATGTATGATTGTGATGGCGGAGCCTGTATCGACGATGGCTGGTTGTGATTTATTATTTACTTGAGCTTTGATGTAAAGAGGATTCCAATAAATGAGATGAACAGAAAAAGAATGAAACATGACTATGCACATGATTATGATTAGCGGTGACGGGGTGATCCGCTATCAATGGGCGAAAAAAAAAATATATCTCTTCCAACACCATTACTGTCATCAACGTCATCATCATCGCCGCCATCGTATACTAACACAGCTGAGGATCATTTAATTATAAGTGTTATTTCACAGTCTACAACGACCACAACAACAGCATTAGCACCATCACTAGTTCTGACGACTTCATCTGAACCATTGTCATCATCATCTGCCTCTAGCTCTACAACAAACAGAGATTAAGTTTCAACTCTTGAACAAGAATCGATAAACCAGCATATCCGTTTCCGTTTTAGAATGCCTCAAACAAGATAATGTACAAAGTGAATTTAGTGCAGTTAATGATCAAAGAATCTGATCAGAAACCATCAAATTTTCCCCACTCTAAAGGTATCAGAAAATGGAAGTACCTTGTGAGTGTATAACTACCTTGACGTCCGTTTGCTGTGATTTTGTCACTTTTCTGGATAAAAATAATTAAAATGTTTGAACTGACAGTTGTGTTTGAACTGCTGGTTCCTGTTTTGGAAAGCTTGCAGTTCGATTAAAAATAATCGTAGAAGCGTCATTCTTGCATAGTTTGAGAGACAATGATATATGGTCATAGTTTCAAAAAATAATTCTAAAATAACTTTCTAACGGTATTAGATTATCATTAATAAGTGACTCTGGTGCCTTAGACTTTTATTTGTAAGTTACCGCTTTCTTGGAAATCATGAAGAAATATATCATTTGATAGAGGTTTTCAAGCGCTACAAAACCCTATACTTGCTTTTCCAAAAGATTACTACTTAGCAGTTATTTCAGCCCATTTTTAGAAATATTGGATTCCTAAGCGGTTTATTACTGTGCTCACAAAAGCTATTTTGTAAATAACTTTTGACTAACAGTATCTAGAGGGTTGCGGTTTTCCTCATTCGATAGTCCAGTCATCGCCGCACCTTTATGTAACAGCCAAGCGTTCGAAACCTTTTTTAAAAGCCGGCTTTCCAAGAGATCTCTGGAAAACCGAACCATAACGCTGAAACTCGCAGCATAAATAACACACATTGACATCCTAATTATAATTAATATACATCTTTATTAAAGAAAAATATCTTTTTTATAACACAAAAAAAATCACATCTTTTTTCTTTTTGGAAATGAATTATGTAATGAATCAGTTAAGAATAAAAGCGGTCGGTAATCGTAAAAAGGCAAAAAAGATGTGATTTTTTTATGTTATAAAAAACCCGCGTGAACTAAGATCTTTCTCACCTAACATTTATTTACAAATAAAAAAGATATCCTTCTTAACAATAAAATTGATCTATTTATACACGCAATATTGCACATTCCTTGACTAGACTCTACCCAATAACCTTGAATGTTTTTGCACCATAGCTTTGAATATTCCTGCGCAATAACCTTGACCATAGTCTTGCACCATAACGTTGAATATATTCTTGTGCAATTACTTAGACTATATGCTTGCGAAATAACCTTAAATATGATTATCTCTATTATGGCACGACTCTAGTGCGTAGAATAACAATAACAATCGCGCCGTTCCCTTATACGGCGTTATAATATAAGACGCATCTGAAAATTCCTAAAATCCGAAAAAACCGCCATGTAACCTCGAAAAACCGCTCTCTGTAGACTTCCTTAACCCTTCTAAAAAGTGAAAACCACATTTTTAGGTAGTCTTTTACTCGCCGAATCCGATGCACATCTCAGATTTGAGTTCAGAGTTGAATTTGATCGCGAAAACTTGATTTCGAAACACGTCATTTTCACGTTTCTCGGTCATTTCGGAACCCCCTCCCCCCGCGCCGTTGTTTAAAAAAGTTTTATATAACATATTTGAGATTAGCGTCAAATTCTCTATCGAAGGAGGTAGGTCTTCGCCCATGCACCGCATCTTCATGTAAAGTGTGGTATAATCCCAATGGAAATACCCTGGTGATGAAACAGCAAAATTCGAAGTAAAAAGCGAATCATAATGATTATTAATTATTATGAGAGCAATAAGTACACTAAAAGCAATAAATTCGAAATTTAAAGATATTTTATCTTCGACCGCCGATGTAGATAAATTTGAAGAAGATATTGAATAAAAAGTCGAAAGAATTATTACTCAAGTAACTACTAAAGCATCAAAAGAAGAACTATCTACTAGAGATGCAGATGATTTTCGTATGTATTACAATCATCTGCTATCATTTGAAAAACATAAACATACGATATCCCAAGAAACCACAGACATCCCACAGACATCTCCATGGTTTTCGACGTTTGAATACCATACTACGACCGATCGAGTCAAAAAAACTTCAACCAATGCAGCACTTCGAAAGTTTTCCTCGTAAGCAGCGTGGTTGATGGAATCAAACTTGTCGTATTATTGTCGATGATAATATTGAGAGAACAATCGTGATCATGGTCATCCTATTACATCAATCGCACATTTGTCATGCAGAGAAAATGTGCTACTCTACTCACTTATGCAATAAGTAGCTTGCTAAACAAGTAAAACAAAGTGCGAATTGAATCGGGAAAGAAAGCATTGAAGATTAAAAAAACATGAACTACCTGTCGATGTCGGAAAACATGGCTGGTTGTGAATTATCGTAAACATCATGACGCGATCATTCAAGCGGTCGCACACATAAAGATTGCCCTTACTGTCAAAAGCCATATCGGTCGGCTGGTTGAATTGATTAGGTTTGTCGCCTATACCTAAATCGAAATGTCAAACACAAATCCATTCAAACATGTCTGCTTCCTCTATAATACTCAATAAAGTGTTCAAATCTTGAGAAAATCAAATCAATTGAGTGGATAACATTCGGAACATCTTTCCATCAATCAGATGATTGACAGGAAAAAAATAATTTATTCTTAATTTTGTGTTATTTTGTTCAAAACAAAGTTTGAAACTCATCATAACTCAAAGAACAATGTTGATTATAATGCTCAATGTCGAAATCAAGTTAGAATCGTTTTCTCAATTAACATTCATCGTAGAGCACCAATAATGATGTGATGAGAAGGACAAAACAACGTATATGCTTTGCCGACGCTAATCATTCAAATTACAATAATATACTGATGCTGGACGTTTCAAATCGCATTTGCCGATTCGAGTCATTGTGATATTGATGCATATGTTGCAGGGGAACTTGAAAGTTGGGGCATTTTAAAATTACCATAGCAGAAATTCAAGTTTTTATTTCCACCAGGGCATATTCACGTAGCACTTTTCCGAATTTTTTCAAGGAAAAAAATTTAATCAATGTTGAATATATTCTACATAATCAAGAGGAATTGAAAATTTCTATATGGAACAAACTGAAACTTTTATTTGCCCTAGAAGATATTCCAATATGAAATTTTCCGTATGAAAAAATCAAAAAAGTGCTATTTGAATTTACTCCAACGGAGATCAAAAGTTTTAATTTGCTCTAAATTTTAATTGGCACTGTAACATCTATATAAATATCTTTCTTCAGTAAAACGAATTCGGACTGTTCTGATTCATGCCATGGTTGCTTCTTTTAGTTCTTTTTACAACAAGAAGTCATGCAAAATCTAAGAAAGCCAACCATCACGACAGAATCAGACGTTTTCAGTAATAGTAAAATCGAAAGACCAAAACGCAAAAGAATTGACTCAGTAGTGAAGAACACTACATCATTCTGTTGACTAGGTCGATTTGCTCTACCTGAAGCTGCTGATATCGCACATTACACTATTTATTTATTCTCTTTAAAAGGACTCGTTTGACGATGCTGCACTCCACTGACAAATATGTCACATGGCTCCTATTTCTGTTTTACGTACGTTGTTGTACACAGTGTTGTGTACATTAGAGCCCATCGGGTCCATGATTTTTGGACCCGGACCCGATGATAAAAATTTATTCAAACCTGGACCCGGTTGGTTAAATGTTCTTGTACCCGGACCCGGACCGGCTCAAACAAAATTCTCGAATCCGAACCCAATAACTAATGCTTTGTGATTCGTGCCCGAATCACTCATTTGAGATCTATAATGCAAAATTCTAGTTCGGATTTGATAATCGATCCAAAGATAGGATATCCTTTTTTTTTCATTTTTTTATGTTCGACAACATATTTCTACATATTCTTTTATTCATCCGATAGTCCGATAGCGATTCTATAATAATTAAATCTAATTCGTTCGGACCCGGTGAATTCAAAATCTTCGGACCCGGATCCGATGAATTCAAAATTTTCAGACCCGGACCCGATGGGCTCTAGTATACATACATATCTATAGGTAAGCTTGTAGGAAGCGTGCACTAGACTTGATTGGTGTAAAATGTTAGTTACTTTTTCATTCGATTCTCATCGTTGACCTATATGAACCTGGCAAACACTAGTTTTTTTTATAACTTCGGACCAAAGGCAAGGCTCTACGTAGTTGCAATCTAGTATTCATACCGGACCCGCCAGCAATCGTATCGCCGATGGATGCATTGTGTAACCAACGCTGAATTCGTTCATTGGATGAGTCAGCCACATACACAGCATGAGTTTCATCATCGACCCATACAGAAATCGGTCTCGACAGCGATTCAGCATCACTGCCTTCATTGCCCGTGCTCAATCCAGCCACAGTGGTGCCATTGGGTGCACCTGTTAACCATTTCTGGATGCGATTATTGACATAATCAGCCACGTACACAGTGCCATCGGCTCCATCCACATAAATACCTTCCGGAGAATTGAGATTATCGCTAGTCGATCCCGAATAATTTTCTCGGGCGGCGACGACCGTGGTGGTATTCGTTCGAGATGACCATTTAAACACACAATGTGAAGCCGCCGACGACATATAAACATTTTTCTCTTTGTCAACCCAGACACCTTCACAGTAAGAACATGGGCCTCCTACTTGTACGCCATGCGACACCCCTTTGACCCATTTTTTGACACAATGGTCACCCATAAGAGAGACATAAATTGCTTGTCCATCGTTCTCATCATCGACATAGATCTTCGTCGAATACGCGACATTGAATATCATGGTGGTACCCGTGACCGGTAACTTATTAAGTGAAAACATTTGAATACGTTCATTCCCTGTGTCAGCCACGTACAATGTATTCGTTTGTTTGTGAATAAAAATTGCTTCAGGTCCTTTCAGTTGATCGGACTTGTTGAGTCTCGTTCGTAAATGATTTGATTGTCGATGAGAACGATACGATCCCATCGACAAATAAGTTGTTTCGTGTTGGAATGACAGCATGGTTTCCTTTTTTTGCTTTAGTCAGCAATAAAAACAACTTTGTTATTTTCGATCATATGTACATGTTTTTAAAACACAAGCGATTCTCAATTTATTCCTTCCCAAGCAGAGAAAAAATATCGACTATCGGGCGATACAGCTAGCTAACTCAATATACTACCCGATATAGCTAGCTACCAATTCAAATCAGGTTATTTACTATCGGGCGATATAGCTAGCTAACACGATACATCACTAGATATACCTAGCTAACTCAATATCATTGACCATATAGCTAGCTACAATCTACTTAATGTTACTTTAATACAAGTACATAACCCAATACAATAGTAGATATACCTAGCTAAGTCGATAGAATGTAGCTAGATATAGGTAGATACAAGTAGATAACCCAATACACTGGTAGATATACCTAGCTAAGTCGATAGAATGTAGCTAGATATAGGTAGACACAAGTAGATAACCCAATACGATAGTGGATATACCCAGCTGAGATTAGCAGAATTGGCTTAATTTAGCACAACTACCAACTTGTACATATTCATTTGAATTAGGCAGTCAAGTACGGTGATTTTGTTTTTCATCCGTAGAATCTATGTTACGAGATAATCAGCTATGTGATGAATATTGAAAAAAATTAGAATTTTATTGTGCATTACTTAATCTACTTAAACATGGTAGATTTTGTTGCGATTATTGTGAAAAACTATTTCCATGATCAATGGCGTTTAGAAAAAACGAATCATGTTTTTCTGTACACAGATTGAATTGTCTTGTTTAAATATTTATTTCATTTGAATAGTCACCTTTCTTATTGATATTTTGAGAAGAAAAAAACATATTAGACGGGCAAAATCTACAGAGTTGCTATTAAACTTTCTTCATTGAAATTCAGAGCTAGGCAAATCCACATTCAAAAAGAAATTTGAGTCTATAATATTCCAGAAAGAGAAAAGCATGCAACTATCGATTATGCCGCCGTTGAAAAAAAGTACTTCCTTTCTTGAACTTTTAGCCTATTGATGAGTCATCATCAAGTATCCTTGTGGCAGAATTGTATGGCTTAGGAATTAAAATGAAAACTTTGGAATGTATTTGGAAAATACTGTATAAATGGCAACCTGGGCAAATGTACTTCATTTAAGAAATGGTCCGTGCATCCATTGAGAAAAGGAATCACCCGATGAAAACATAGATTTTGTGTTAAGCGATCTCATCGTGTAGAACGTATAAAATAACCGAGGAATCCAAGTTTCTAGACCTTCATACCGAAAAATGGCCGAGACATGAATTTTCTCCGAAGAGTCTCATGGAAAATCGCGAAAAAATGTACCTTAAATTTTAGATGTACCCTTTAGATTTTTATTTGTTCTTTCCTTGATGAAAAAATTATCGAATTATATATGAATCGAAAGAGCACGAAATTCTCTACAAGATAGGCTACTTATCAAGTCTAAGAAGTAGAAGTGAATGTTGGAAAGTTTAAGAATTTTGAAAGTTTAAATTTAAATTTTTCATGTAAAATCTCTCTCACTAAGCTAGATTGACTTGTCCCGTAAATGTTTTACTACCAGCTTGTAGAGCAAACAATTCTCTGCCAGATGAGCTGCTTTTCATTCTCTTATACTCTGGGTCTTGTGTCCAAAACTCTGTTACAATGTGCATAACCAAGATCTCTCTTCGAACATTTTTTGTTGAAATATTTATTTTCTATACAAAAATCATAAATGTAATTTATCGACACCATGAAAAATGCACGACTAAATAAGAAACAAATTTAGTTTCTAGTTGATAAATTTGAGGAAGGACGAGAAAACCATTCGCTGGAAACCAGAGACCATTGTATCCCTCATTGAGACATCGGTGAAGAAAGATCTTGATTATACTCATTGTAACCGAGTTTTGGACACAAGACCCAGAGTATA